TCAATGAATTTTAACCCACAGGGCCAACACAACACACGTGGAGGGTTTGCTGCAGTAGATTTGAACATACAAATACATACTCTAGGAAGAGAAGTGCTGGGCCATTTTTCTTATTCTCCCTGTATGGCGAGCACTTTGCTTGCACTGTGTGTGCCTTCCCCCTTGATCAGAAATCCTTTTTCTTAACCAATTTCTAAAATCCATGGAACTCGTTGCCACGGTCAGTTTCCCCATCACTAAATGCAAGATTTTAACGACATAAAAATTGGAAGGGAGTAAGACAGTTTTATAAAGATGTAAGGTATTCATAGAAAACAACAAGCAAATCCTGACATCAAAGTGGGGACATGATTTAGTGATGAAATACTGGTGATAGCGGGATGGTTGGACTGGATGATCTTGGAGGTCTTTTCCAACCTCGGTGATTCTATGATTCTAAGTCAGGACTAAAAAATATAGAATAACCAAAAAATTGAGAGGGAACATGAACTTTTATATTACCATAAGCAAATGTAAACAAACAGACCTTTTTTTTCCCTGGAATTACTGTATTGACTGGAAGCCTCAGAGTGCCTTAACGAAAGCAGAAGAGCATGTCTGCAGCACAGCCATTTTGTTATTTGTTGTGTTTGTCTTGTGTAGCTACCCGGAGGTAACAGAGAGAACCATGGGCTCATCAGAAGAGGGAGTATAGAGATGCATAAAATAAGCACCTCTTGTTTATTCAGAATAAATAGAATGAAAGAAAAAAAGATGAACAGCTTCACTACTAACTTTTAGTATTGGAGAGCTGATAAAACAAAAGGAGGTGAGAGATTAAAATCCTATACACAGTTATTAAGCATGTGCATTACTGCATGCAGAGAACAAAAACCAGGAAGTTAGAAAGCTGTTGCAGTGAAGGCAAAACACATTGCTTCATTTGCTTAGCAAGAGAAAACTGCTTAGTCTTTAAAATATTTTGCTGACTTTCTCATCTCTTCATTCAGGACTTCTGTATATGGACTACATGCTACTAAAGCTTAGCAGGAACAGCAAAAAAGAAGTCTTCACCTTTAAGCAGAGTACTTCTGTATTTCTGTCTCTGCTCTCAAACTGTTGCCCTACCCTCCCAACTCAATCAACCAAAAAATAATTTCCAAACACAATAAAACTACTTTTATTTGCTATGAAATAGATATCTAAATCTCTACTAAGCTCCTCCTCCCTTCACAGAAGAGAGAAAAGCACCTCCAGAAAACAATGTGTGGCTTATTCCAACCTTTTTTTTTTTTTTAATGGGATTTACTGCCTTGTTGAGGTACTTTGTATGCGTGCCTATTGACTATAAGGTGAGTCTATGACAGGTAACTCAGATTTACATGTCTAATTAGTAGTTGCCTCAGTGTTACGAAACAAATCTAGCTCTTACATATTGTAGGTATGCAATTAGTCTGAACTTCATTCTAGTGAAAACTGGGCTCTAAGTCAATTTATTCTACGGTAGTAATAAAGTGAGACACACATCCTCCATTATAGGAGAGGAAAGCAGCCTGCACAGCCTATGTCTGCTTGTTCATGTAATTTTGTACTATTTTTCAGGATGGAATGAGCACGTGGGAAATTGTAACAGTGCACCATGAAAACTGGAATAACTGAGAAAGCGCTGACATCAAACATAAATTCCTATTGTGATACATTATAGAGCTGCAGCAGAGATGTAGTGGAGGCACAGTAGAATTTGGAGATGTCAGGTGAAATCCAGGCCCTCCCAACAGCCAGCTTTTCCATGGGGCTGAATAGGGGTAGGGGGATGGGGTGGCTAACCACTCCCTCCATTCTTGTCCCGAGGAGCTTGAGCACACAGACATGAAACTCGTCAAATGGGCCCATTTGGCAGTGCTGTGCTATTGACTCAATTTTTCAAAACCACAAGGGTTGGGTGTTTTTGTTGTTGTTGAATATGTATGAAGAAAGATACAACTCTGATACATTAGAAAAGTCAAATAGTTCAAAGCAAACAAGAAAGTGCTAGAAAAGAACCTTTGACCCTTTGAATCCAAGCACTTTCAGACCTCCCAGGAAATCTCTTATTCGTCAGTACTTGCAAATTTAATTCAGTAACAGCTGGCGCGTGTCTCTCATAGCGTTAAGTCCCACCGTCTATGGCTTCGAACAAATCCAGGAGAGCCACTGTGCAAGGTTGCCTCCCGGTGGTGGTACCACGAACCTGCAGAATGACACAATCTGCACACAGAAAAGGCAAAAAACCCGTTTGAAAGGAACGCTTCCTTTTTGAATTCAGGTCTACGTAGAGTAAGTGAAAAATTTCAGTGTGATTTTAACGGCCTGAATTGAGGACAAACCTTTTGATACGCGACTGAAGCAGAGCTTTCTAGTGGAATAGCATACTAACAAGGAAAGCTCAGAGACTTTCAGTACGTGAAAAAAAAGCTAAAAATCAGTAAGCTGTAGCCAATTGCACACTATCCACAGCAGTGAGCCTCCTGAAGTCTGAAACAATAGCTATTAAGCACAAGGCAAATGGCTGAGTGCCTTAAGTTGGATACAAAAGCACTACAGCAGATTTCCCATTCTACCAATTCTATGTAACTCAGATTTTCAATTACAAAGTTAGCAACAAGAGGAGAAAAGACAACAGAAAGTCCCAAACTACCTTTCAAATTGATTGTTCTTTTAGGTAAAAGCAGGAAAAGACTCCAGCAGATGGATTTCCAATTCCAAGTCTTCAAGTAAAGAGAAACACACAGTTAAAGACAGCTTTATGTAGCTGTTCAAGATGATGAAAGCCAGGAGGACAACTTGAAATGACTGTGGGAATAGGAGTTTAGTTGGGTCACGCTTCAGATGACCCAGACGAAAGATTTAGTGTAAGAAAACAGAAATATTGGCAGCGTAGTGCAGGGAAGGATTTTAAAACACCCATTTTATGGATTCACGTAACAACAAATTGGCAGAGGGTACATGCAGTGAGTGTTTCAGACTCATTCAGTTCCCAGTAACTGCTCAGAAGAGAAAGTGCTTTAAATCAGATAGCAGTCCCCCACACAACAGATTTTTAGTGCTCCAAATACCTAAGGAGTGTTCAAAAACATTTGGGAAAAGTGAGAAATGTAACAACATTTCTGCAGCGACTGCAGATGATGAAGCGTCAAGTTTGACAGACAAGGACAGACAAACGCAGTAGTACTGCGATGACAAAAGGCATCTGCAAAGGAAAATGTCTTAACAGCATTATGCAGGCATAAGCAAGAATTTGTCTGGGGGGGAGGATAAATATTTGAAAGCTGAACCCAAGAAAGAACAACTTTTTTTAAATTGCAGTGAAACCAAGCAGACAATTTAGGTCTCAGCTTTCTGAAAATAATGGTGGTTCGGTTTTACATGGTGGATTATAACAAAACAATGAGCGACAGATAGATAGATAGATAGATAGATAGATAGATAGATAGATAGATAGATAGATAGATGTAAGCTTCTCACCTATGGACCTGTGTCAGTAACAGTCACCACAAACTGATGCAAATAATAAAATTTATTACTAACATTTTTTTTAGTAATTACTAAATTTTTTTAATTCCTAAAACCCTTCAAAAAAGTCGTACTATGGGCAGAAAAATTACTTTTGTTCAACTGGATTTGCAGAGTAAGCAGACATCCTTTCCATAAACACAACAAACATTCCTTCATGACAGTGTGCTTGATGACACACTGTATCACACAAAGCCAGAATCACTGTGCTGACGTAGGATTACACATGGCATCAGATTAACATACAAGCGTAGCAGAGCTATTTCATGCTATCCCAGGATAAATCATGATGGGCTAACTGGCCTTACATGTTAAAAATAACACCCATCAAATACTCAGACTGGCCTGACGCATCTGACATTAACTTCACACAAAGTGTTCAGGAAAAACAAACTGTTTAGGAAAAAGCAGATGCACTTCACACTGAAATGACCAGAATTAGACTTTATACGGTATTCACCTTCTAGCAAGACATATGGATAACACAAGCTGGCAAAATGACACCAGATGAATGGAAGAAACAAGTACCTTCCTGTCTTATCCAAGTTGCCTTGGAAAGGAAGTATGATCAAAATGTATGACGTTTGGGATTTTTCCCCCATCGTTATTTATTTAGATGTGCAAAGATAACAGTAATGTTACTGGATCTCTGTGGGGGCACAACGTCCCAAGATGGCACTTTCTGTCAGAAGGCTGATGCCTAAAACTGAAGGCTGGGGAAAATAATTTCACATTTCTGAGAAAAACGGTAGGTGACAATATTTTATTAGCAGAAACATTTAAGCACTGCAAGGTGCTATGAAGCAGATTAAAATCACGTTTCTTGAATTTAAAACATCTGAAGGACCAGCCCTTCCCCCTTGGTAAGCTGGAAAGAGTCGGTATCTTCACTAAATGATTGCTGGGCTAAAGAACTATTCCTCCCTGAGCTACACCTATTTATAGGAACATACATAGCATCCTCACTGAACAAATTAGGATGAATTTAAAATCAAAAATAACAACAGAAGTGTACACAAATATCTCAAATATTTGCAAATGCCGAATGATCAAAGAGTGAGTGATGCCTCGGAAGCTGAAGTTTAACTGAGTCATCCAGCTTTCAGTATAAGAAAAGAGCCTTAAATTCTTTAAACCTCAGTATTCAAAGCTCATCTGCATTCTAAGTATTAGATTTCTAAAATAAGAAACCACAGCACGTGCAGTTCTAGAACTCCCACTCTGAAATACTGCTTCTATGTGCTGACTTTACGATAAGCCTCTGACCTAGTTTAATCAGAGCACTCCATCATCTGGTACATCCAGATCTAAGGCCGGCACATTCTCTGACCCTACAGGCACAATATTCTTCAGAGCCTTTATGTCATCAGTGCACTTCTGTTGTTTTTCTATTATCAACTAACTGTAACAGGACAAATCAAATTTAGTTAAGCCCGGTTTCGTTAAAACACACACATGTGGAACAGAAAAACATTTCTGTATTTTTTTTTATTTCAAATAAGGATCAATAACAACATGCTCATGAGCAAGAAGTCATCTTAATTATCTCTCTTTAGGAGGATTAGGATTCTTCCGTCTTCTCTGATACCTAGAAGATAAAAAAAAGCTGCTGTGAATGTAAGTTTTGGAAAAATCTTTGACTTTCCTGACCTTCTTCCCTCCAGAAGCAGTTTGGAGGTTACACAAGTAAGCAAAATGTAATACACACAAACACAGCCCATGACCATTCATTAGATGCCATCTCTGTTGTTCGTGAAGTTACACAACACTGCTCATTTCTGCTGCACATCAGCTACAAGCACGCAATAATCCATTCAGCTGTAGAGCCGCCTGTAGATACAAAGGCTGCTTTTTACTCTTAATCCTTTGTGTGAGATTAATTTCACTGTATAGTCAGGGCTTCCTCTGACCAAAATGACTGCTACAGAATAATCAGGGGAACAAGAAGGAGTTATGTCAGACCTTACTTTAAATAGTGTAATATTCTGCAGTCGTATCATTCAAAAAAATTCTTCACAACAAAGAAAGATAAACTGCATCCCTACTTTCTTAATTAGCCACCCTTAAACAAGGCAAATACAGTACGATACTCACTAAGTGACAACTACCCTCTGGCCATAGGGAGCTCTACCATTTGTTTTCTTCACTTGTTCACAAAACATAACAATTAAAAAGGTTTTCAGCGTATCAAGTTTCCATAGCTATGAAATCAGCAATTACCATACAGTGTAATAACACAGACTGGAGTGGAGCTGCACAAACTAAAATGCTACTTGTTTCCAGTGGTGTACCTCAACACACAGAGTTTCTCTTTAAGCTCAGTCAGGCATGTTACATCTCTTCTCCTTGCAGCTTTCTGAATACAAAGTGCACCAAGGTACACTTCTCATCATTTCAAATGAAAAACTACATTTTTTTTTTTTTTTTTTTTTAAGTCTGATAATTGTATGGTTTCAAGCTGTATTGGCTACATTCACTCAGAGTGTGATTTCACTTATACTATTTTAGGAAACCACGTGGAGCAGCAGCTAATTACACAATATGAGAAATTTCTACTCCATGGTATTTTACCAATCAAGTTGCAAAGGCTATGGAAGGGGCAGAATTTTTAAAAAACAAGATAATACAGTCTTCCATTTACACGACATTGTATTTAGAACTGTATGTAATAGCCCACGTGCTAAGAGTATTTCATAGGATGAGTTTGGATAAATTACAATCATTCCTGTGTTTCTCTTTATGCCCAAAAGGAACACACACTGAAAAAAAAGAAAACTTACTGTCCCACAGGGTACCACCGATGTTTTGTAGTGTAAAACATTTTGCTGAGCTCTTCAATTCTAAGTCCTCTATCATTCTTTAGCTCTTCTTCATTCAATCTGGATTTCAAAATTTGATCTAGAGTTTCTTCTTTGTTATTCACCGGATCTGGGCGCGGCACGGGCTACAAAAACAAGAACGTAACTTTCCTCTTTAGGAAGAACAAAAAGTCAAGCTGCACTGATAACATTACTGTTTACTCTTTAAAGCTGAGAACAAAAGAACTAAAAAAAGAAAGCATCGTAAAAGGCTCCCTCCCTTCTCAATCAAAACCACATCACTCTGGGGAGGAATTCTAGAAACATCTCATTACTGCAGGTGCTATGGCTGATTACTGTGTCCCACTGTCAGTGCTACTGCTGAGCTCTCATCCTTACAACCCACTAGCTGAATCATAAGCATCAATTTACTAACATAAAATACTCATATTATTGCTATTTATACATTTGTTCATACTGACGACCACCATTTTATCATACTAAGTTTTTAAGTTCTTATTGAAAGTTTTCCTGTGAAGTTTATGAACTCACAGAGTTGAATGGAGTTTAAAATAACAGCACTTCTTCATGTTCCCCATGCTGCTGCAACTGAACACAGCAGGATGTACGAGCTATCGCCCAGATTTCCAGCATCTTCTCTGAGGAGCATGCTCTTAGACAAACACTGCTTTTCTCTGTAGTGCACAACTGTTTGAGTACCTCACTTAATTCATTTTGAGCAATGCTGTAAGAATCTGAGCATTTATTTCCCTGTAGCTTTCTCTCACTTCAGCTAAAAGTCCTCCTTAGAGCAGCAGCTATATTCATCACTCACTTCACAGATATGCTGCTCATGTAAAGCACAGTACCTCTGTCTTTCAAACTGCAAGAAAAAACAAACAGTTGTCCTGAAGGCTCAGAACTTCCTATGCTTTTACACGACTAAGCAATGTGTACCGTTGGACATACTTGTGTGTGCTCGTATGGAATCTCGAGTGAAGGGTGGTAGCAGACAATTGTCTTCGAATCTGATGTCAAGGCAAGTTCCACTTTGCTATGAAAATAAAAAGTGACATTATTACAATCCCTTACAATTTCCAGAAATGCTGACTGACTGAGCAGCCCAATTCCCAAAGAAAACCCGATTTATCCTCTATTTATGAATTCTTTGTAAATCTTCTATCAAATAAAACCTGAAAAAATAAGGCTCACAAGTACTTGATCTGAACTTCTTTCTTCCCCCAACTATTTCATCTTTCTTCTTTCTCCTTTTTCTTTTTCTTTTTTTTTTTTTTTTTGATGGAAGAGAACAAAGGGATACAATGGAGCTGTACAGACAGCTGGAAATGTGGCTTGGAAAAGCCATAGGACACTGAAGAATCACATTAAAACTAACAGCAGGTAATGAATGTCAGCGATATCTACAACGTGCCTTTATAAGTGTGGTACCACTAAGAGAAAGAATAGGAAATAAAGCTCCAGGTTCCATCATTTGACAAATGATGGTAAGCATGATAAACAAGTTCTACTGACAAGTTCCTTGACGGAGTACAGCTTTTCTCACCTTATTTCCCTGTTAACTTCTGTGACACATTAGCTTCCAAAAAACTTCTGCAGTACAGATGTTGCAATTCTCATTATATTTTTATCATCTTTTCCAGTTTCTACTGCAGTTTGCCATGCAGCAGCACAAAATTACCTGGGCTTTGTCTTAACAATAAGTATCTGTGAAAATGAGTGCTCTTTCTTTAGCTCTTCCACAATTAAAACTGTAGTGCTCCTGGGGTCATCATCACATTTAGAATGAGTCATGCATGACTGTTCATTCTGCTCATTTTTGAAACAGTAGCTTCACAATCATTATGACTGGAAACAGTACTTCACTTTAAATTATTATGCATCTATATCCAAAAGTGGCAGAAAGGTGTGTTTGATACCATCAGATGACAACGTGATGGCAGAGCCAGTAACATGCAACATACATCACATGAGAAGGCCACACAGGGCACGCTGACGTACCAGTTGTAGTCTTCAGGGAGCACTGAGTACGTCGATTTACGACAAGCATGACATACAGCTCCAACTGCAAGGAAAGAAAATACAAACAAGTATAAAACACTGTCTAAATAGAAGCTCACTTTACATGAAGATTTCTAGCGCTATCAAAAATGCAGCATTTACGTAGCTATGTCCTACTTTTGTATTTCCATTGTACTGTATTCCTAAGGAAAAAAACACAGCTTGAACAAAACACAAATGTCACTGTTACACCTTTATAAATACATTAACAAAATAGACCCGTTTTGAGGTCATATAGTATTGAAAGGGCAAAGAACATCATCATACGATTTACAGGGAAGATTATCTGATTTTTCCTTTAATTCATAGTAACAGTCACTGTCAAAATGAATTTGTACTTTGCTGAAAAGTGGTATATATGCTATACAAAACTATAATGCTTTGGCTGCTCTAACACTAGAGAACTCAATTCCTTCCACAAGTTCCTGTTACACCAAGGAAAGCAATCACAAGAATTACAAGTAGTAAAGGCCACCAGCATACTGGACTATATTAGCAAACAGACCAAGGGAAGAGATTCTCACCCTGCACTCAGCACTCATATCTTGATATTGTGGCCGCTTTGGGCCCCTTCAGTAAAAGTGAAATGGAATAAATGCTGTGAATGCCCACCACAATGGCTTTTAGTTGCAACATCTGCCCTGTGAGGAGCGACTGAGGGACCAAGGCTGTTTCAAACGTTTAAGCCACAGTTCTGGAGAGACCTGACAACAGACCCCAGAGGTCATAAAGGTTCGACTGAGCAGGGGAAGCCAGGCTGCTTAGAGCACTGTGTGGTGGGAGGACAAAAAACACTGAAGTTGAAACAAGAGAGGCTCTGACTAGACAGAGAAAACTTTTCCAATTGAAGGTAATCACGGAACAGGGAGGTTTGTGCTGTCTTTCATCTGGGCAGATTTGTCCCAGAAGGACAGAGTCCTGAGCATCCGATGCACAGCTGAGCCTACATTGAGCAGAAGGTTTGACCCGAGGAAATCACCCAAGGACCCCTCCAAATGAGCCTTCCCATGATAACACTGCATAAGGTGATAAACAGCAACAGTACTTTTTATAGGAACTGTACCATAGGCATTTTGCTTTCTACAAGCCATAAATGGTATTCTTAGCAGCCCAAGATGGATGTGGAGACAAATTCAGTGCAGTAAAGCTGGGAAGATTCAAAGAACCAAGGGGAAACTTTTCTGCAGGTGTTTTCCTTTTAGAAGTATTTTCACGTGTTAAATTCTAAAATTCAAACACAAGTTTATCTAGAAATTGAGATGTATTTCAGAATTTAAAATTCTACATTTATATTTTGATCAGCACCATCATGCTTCAGTTTTCCCAAATAAACTCATCTTTTCTTATAAAGATGTCAAACCTTTATAACACAGATCTTTAAAGTCCCTTTCAACCTAAGCCACTCTATGATTCTACAGAGTATAATAAAGAAGCTCTCAATGAATAAATGCTAATATAGGATTTCAATTCCATACTCCTTACCTCGTAGTGGGACTTGCTTACAAGCAGCTACTGAACGCATCCAGAGACAGCTGGACCACACAGCCCTAAGTGACGTTGCCATGCTGAGAGCAGATGGGAAACCAGTCCTGGACAAGATGGAACTGGAACACACACAGTATCTTTTTGGTTCCAGAACACCCTCTGAAAAAGACCAGTTTCATAACTGTTTGGGTTACAGAGATAGACAATTTAGTTTCCTAGCTTAAGAACAAACAGAATTCGTTCAGTATGTTACTTGTTGTCAGTTTTTGGTAAGTCTTTATGATTTAAGATAAAGGCATCTGTCTCTGAAAAAGTCAAATATGGGACAAAACTTCATTAGTAAGAAGTTCTCTCTTAAGTAGCTTCACTTACTGAACAACCTCACTCACCCCAGAAAAACAACTTTCCAAGCTTGGGTCCTTCCTCAGCTCAGTTTTGCTGCTAGTGCCCACACATGCACCACTTTTGTATCCTTCACAGAACCACAGAATGGCCAGGGTTGGAAGGGACCTCAAGGATCATGAATCTCAACCCTCCTGCCACACGCAGGGCCACCAACCTCCCCATTTAATACTAGACCAGGCTGTCCAGGACCCCATCCAACCCGGCCTTGAACACCTCCAGGGACAGCGCATCTACGACCTCTCGGGGCAGCCTGTTCCAGCACCTCACCACTCTCACAGTTAAGAACTTTCCCCTGATATCCAACCTAAATACTCCCTACCTCAGCTTAGAACTGTTTCCCCTTGTCCTGCAGTTGTCAACCCTTTCAAAGAGTTGATTCCCCTTCTGTCTGTAGGCTCCCTTTGGGTACTGAAAGGCTGCAGTGAGGTCACCCTGCAGCCTTCTTTTCTCCAGGCTGAACAAGCCCAGCTCCCCGAGCCTGTCTTCACAGGGGAGGTGCTTCAGTCCCCTGATCATCTTTGTGGCCCTCCTCTGGACCCTCTCCAACAGTTACTTCCTCTTTTTTCTGCAAGCTCCATGGAACTATTCCTGACATGTGATTTTCCTTTCACAACATACACAAGCCTGTTCCAAAAGTAATGCCTCCTATTCTATTATGTTGGCCCATAACATCAAAAGTAAATGCTGATGGTGTGTCAGTACAGGTTGAACCTTCCCACCAGCATTCTGTTACATTTTGTTGCCTTGTGACAAATGGCAGCAGAGGGGCAGTATGACAGAATGGTGTCTGACATGGAAGTGCACATGAAGCAAAGGTGCATCACCAAATTCCTCCATGGGGAAAAAACTGCACTCACTGACATTCATTAATATGTGCTGAATGTTGATGGAGATCAAACAGCAGATGTGAGTACAGTGAGTAGGTGGATGGTGTATTTCAGCAGTGGTGACTGAGACAAGAAAGACAAGCCATATTTTGGACACCCATGAAGATTTTTACAAGTGTGGGTAAGCAGGTTTTTATTCACTGTTAGCAAAAATGCACTACTAATGGTGGTGACTGCATTGTCGTAGCTGAGAATCTGCTCTATCAAATAACATCATTGAAACCGTTGTAGTTTCCACAGAAAAAGGTTAGGAAGCATTACGTTCAGCGTGACTCTGAAGTAAATCTTGGAGTCAACAAACTGCCTAGAGGCAAAACATAACTGCGGACAGCAAAACGACATGCTAGTTAACAGAAAAAAAAATATATAAATAAACAAAAAAAATCATTCAGTCCTTCAGAACGCCTCCACAGCGTGCGGTCGGCAGCCCCTACCCGCTTCCCACCCGTTTACCCACCAGGAGTGCCGCTGCCGCAAAGCCCCATGCACCTCTCGTGCCCCGCTCTGGCCGCTACCGGGGAAGAGGCGAGACGCTGCTAGAGGGCCCCGCGCACACAGCCCGGGACAAAGAACGTCCATCTACAGATACAACGTGCTTATCTACAGAAAGTAATGATCTGAAAGAAAATCAGTCCCTAATCCATCACGGCAAACAAGAGTGCCCGTTGTAAAAGCCGACCTGCAGAGCACTACATACCAACGGAACGCCTTCATCCCTCAGTACGCAGCTCCGGCCGCGAAGACAAGCACTGCACCAATACGAACCCCCTTCTCCTTCAGCACTGACAGCAGCGCCCTTCCACTTCCGGCGCCTTTCTGCTTCCGGTGTCCTTACACATCCGGTGTACTCCCCCCGCTTCCGGTATACTTCCTCTTCCGGTGCACGCCCCGTGGCCCGCTGGGAGGTGTAGTCCGGTAGTTCCCTGGTGCTTTCGAGTCTCTGGCTACGGTGTACAAGTTTCATGCAGCAACCAGGGGAAGCCTCCCAGTTTCAGCAGCATCTCGCTTTGTCCTGCAATTGTGGAGCAGGTGGTGACACTGACAGCTTTCTGGAGTCCAGCAGGAGCAGAGCCAAGAGCTGAGTATTCCCACCGATCGTTCCCATTAGCAGTGGCAAACATTCATTTTCAGATGTTTTCCATGTCAGTTTCCCCTCTGCTCAGCTCTTGTGAGGCCCCATCTGCAGTACTGTGTTCAGGCCTGGGGCCTCCCCTACAAGAAAGACATGGAGCTCTTGGAGTGGGTCCAGAGGAGGGAACTAAGATGATCAGAGGGCTGGAGCACCTCTCCTGTGAGGAAAGGTTGAGGGAACTGGGCTTGTTTAGCTTGGAGAAGAAAAAGCTCTGGAGAGACCTCATTGTGAACTTCCAGTACTTGAAGGGAGTGTATAAACAGGAGGGGGAACGGCTGTTTACGAGGGTGGATAGTGATAGAAGAAGGGGGAATGGTTTTAAACTGAGACAGGGGAGGTTTAAGTTAGATATTAGGAGGAAGTTTTTCACACAGAGGATGGTGACACACTGGAACAGGTTGCCCAAGGAGGCTGTGGATGCCCCATCCCTGGAGGCATTCAAGGCCAGGCTGGATGTGGCTCTGGGCAGCCTGGTCTGCTGGTTGGAGACCCTGCACATAGCAGGGGGTTGAAACTAGATGATCGTCGTGGTCCTTTTCAACCCAGGTCATTCTGGGCTTCTGTGCACAGCTTCTGTTCTGCACTCAAGCACTGAACAGAAGCAATGCAGCTCAGTGTATCTCCTGTGCCAACTCATTATTCCCACAAGGAAGTTGTTGTGCTGGGATGAGGTCAGCTTTCAGATGAAGAACAATCTTTTGGGCTTAGTACAAGCAAGAGAGTGGTTGCACTGACAGACAAACAAAACATGTTGAGAATTTTAAGCTCAAGGATGGTGCTGACAAAAATAAGTGATTATAAACTGCCTGAAACAAATGTGATCTGGAAATGAAAAGAAAGAATTTAAACTGTTTTAAGAAATAACTTACAGAAAATCTTGTCTGTAGGTGGAGTGGAGACAAACTGGTCTACTTCAAACTGCATCTTGCCAAGTTTATGAGCAGGTTGTCACCAGGGGCGACAACTCAGGATTCTTACTAGGATTTTGCAGGTGGTGCAGCCTGCCCCCACAGTTGGCTAATTCCATCCATCATTTAGAAGTACATCACTTCTTACAGCAACAAAGCTGTCACTTTCTTGCCACCTTCATCTGACTGGCAGACTGTCCCATTTCAGCAAACATCAACTCAGATTTAGCTGGCCAAGTTACCCTTGCCTTTATCCTGAACTGCATCACTGTTATCCAGCACCAAGAAAATGCATCCTATGAGGCCCCTCAATGCAGAATATGATTAGGTGTGTGGTTCTGTATGAAATTTTGACACAAGCACAGGAGGCCTTGTTCTAGTTTCCTGGAGAATATTCAGTAAAATTAAGTTATCTCTGACTTATCTTGAAGATGTTCATTACTTATTTGTCATAACTTCTTTAAAAATTTGCTGAATTCAATAATGATGACACCTGAAGTGGCTGACACCTCAGACGTTCAGATTTCTTCTCAAAGGATACTGTTCATTCATGCTGCAGATAAAATCCTTCTGTAGGCCAGTCTGAGACTGAAATAAACTCCCTTCACAGTTGGACACCACTGCAAATCTCACTGTTTTTTTTTCCCCCACTGTTAGACTTTTATTAATTATCTCCTCTTTATTGAGTAGTATCTGACTAATAAAAATTGTTAAGACATTCTCAGTAGCTCCTTAGAAATTTACCTTATCCATAAAAAATACTAGGTCTTAGTATACTCAATATACTTATTTATATTAGTAATCATCATATGTGCTGTCTGCTATCTAACAGATAGCATCATTGCTATCAGTTACATAGTACTAGCACATCTGCAGTGCTGTCACATCACTACAATGGCATATCACTTACAGGGTTAATTAGAAACTGGCAGCAATCTTCTGCGCTTTGTATAAACTCACAGGGAATACTTGGCAGTCCTGTTGAATTTTGATTCACAAAATAGCCTCCAATAGGTTGGAGATTCCCTTATTTTATAACCTCATAGCTTAATTAGTTTTAAATAAGAGGCAATCAGTAAGTATTTCTTATTCTGGAAACGTGTCCCTTTAAAAGATCAGTTCTAAAAGGTTGCAGTGGAAGACACAGCAAAATGTTATTTTTATTGTTACAAACTAAACCATGTTCCCTGATAAGTTTCCAGACTATTTTTAGATGGCTTCTGTTAAAAGATTTTAGGAGACAGTATATGAGGTCTGCCCCCTCTCTGACACTTCATGTTCTGAGAGTTTATTCTTGGAAGCATGTTCTGACAGATTACAGCTTTCTGGTAGCAAGACAGGAATTGCTTAAGGACACTCAGAAGCATGACTACACACTTCTCAAGTATGTCTGGAGATGGGGCTATTAATAACTGCCAACAGCCTTGCTTGCTTCAGCATATTGTGAATAACAAAATTGCTCACTCCATATTGGCTAAACAGAAAGTAGGTTTTTTTGTCCATTAACTACAGAGATACTGAGAAGGCACGAATGGTAATTCCATGAGCCGCGGATCTCTGGGCCTCTGTTTCTGAAAACCTGGAAAGTGTAGTTTCTAAGTTGCTCTCCTGCTGAAGATAAAGCATCACCTGATCTCACCCAAGCAGTCACTTATGAATTTCTGATTGAACAACTGACTTACAGTTATGTAACAAATGGGATGTGGTAATGAGGGCAGGAACGTGCCTGTTGGCTTTGCCAACAAATTCATAAATCAGAGCTGGTATCTGGATTTTTGTGGGGTTGTTGTTGTTGAAGCCGTATTTTCCCTCTCTCCCCCATCATCTTATGAGAAACAGAAAATTAGGCATTGGCTATTCTAGCTCTCTTGCATACTTATTCCTAAACATGCATATGACACATTTAGGAAATTGTTTCTTAGTAAATTAATTCAGGCACCTTATTAGCAAAAATGAATACAGTAAGTATTTTTCTTTCTTTTTTTTTTTTTTTTTTTTCTCTCCATAGAAATCAATGCTTCAGAGTCCTCCAGGAATGAGCATTTGGTTTGCATGGGCTTGTTGTATTGCAAGGTGGCAGACAAGCCTTACTCCTGAAAGAAAGCGTCTCAGTCTTTGTGAGGTTATTCTCCAAATTTAGAGCACAGCAGATGAGTGGAGGTGTTAATTCTCAAATCTTCTCAAGTTGCACTGTAGCCATGGGTGTTTCTATATTTTAAGTCATTCTGTAAACACACAGAATAAACTCCAACACTCATGTCAATAGACCATTTCATTTGTTAGTAAATTCCATGCCATCCTATCACCTGTTCATTGGGTTACCATTAAAGATTCAAGCTGCATCTTAATTGCCTGTAAGGTCCTATACAACCTAAATAATTTGTGCTGATGTTGATTATTGATTTTCAAGTAGGTAACATTATGCCTATATTCAAGCAGTTACTTAAATAAATAATAACAATCAAAAGCATTTCCTACAGTTTTGGCTTCTACTTACAGCATCCCATTCTGATGTCTTATGCAGGTAAAGCATCCAAGTGGTGGCTCTTCTTGGTACAGTTTCAGCCAGTGGTGCCTGTTAGAATCATTCTGAATTTGCTCCATGACTGCTCTGACTACTGCTAAGTGCAAAACTGTACTTCTATACCTCAGTTTCCCCATTTGTGTGTAAGAACAACAATAGTTCTTTTAAAGTACCCTGGGCTTTATGGATAAATATTTCCAATGTAAAATCTAGATGTTACTGTGGGAATCCAATCAGTGTATATATATCTTTTTTTCCTAAGTATCCAGTTGAACAGACTCTGCAAGATGTTATAAAAATATCAAAATGTTCTTATGTAAAATAAAGAATCCAGGTTTTGAAAGTTTTGTAATTGCAGTAAGACTTATTATAAGATTGCAAAGAGGGTAGGAGGAGGAAGTAAGATTAATCAGCCACAGGCTCGGATGGTCTAGATCCACCCAGTGAGTAATTAGATGACAGCAAAAGCTGTCACAGGAAGATGGTAAGCAGCTGTGTTGCCTTGTCCTGGGACTATTAATTGTATGTATGACTGCAATTCTTTGCTAACGTTTTCTATCTGCAGTAACACCCCAGTTACACTTATTTAACCTTATTGTTAAATAAGGCGGTTGCTTAATTTTGTTCTCAGAACTGCTATAGTCCTAGAGGTGGTGTGACATGACTGTTATGGATCTGTGCACGAAAAATATGCTTCCCATCCTGGTTTTCATATAGGTGCAGTGGGACATGAGAGGCTAAGTCAACAGAATGGGTCACTGCTGCTGGAAGGTTTAATCTTACATTCACCACATCTTACTCTGTTTACTATTGTTTCTCTTGTGCCAGCTTAGACTTCCCAGTGAGCTGGTCAGAAGAGTAAAGAAATCAAGAAAAACCCCTTGCTCCTCCCATTTCCTAAGCAGATAAGCAGCTATGGAAAGGGAGGGAGGTTCAAAAATAGATGGCAGAATGCAGGCAAAGGAAGTAGGAGTTTGGTGTTGCCTGCAGCTTCTCAAAAATGGTAAGAGACCAATGGTGGAATTGGTGTTTCTAACGAACACTAACAGTGAAAACTTCACTCTTATTCCTGTCATGTACCTTTGGTTGTCTCTGGTGTGTGCTAGATCCTACTGTAAGCCAAATCAATTCACCCTTCCAAAAGAAAGCTGGAATACATGGCTGTGTTTCTGCCAAATTAGTGAACAGAATCTGTAAAAAGACAGTAGAATCTGGCAGGCCATAGAAGTGAACTGCAGGGGAAAAGCTGTGGATGAAAAAA